CTTAGCAATTTTTTTTTTTTTTTTTTTTAATTATTATTACTGACTTGTTAAACTTTTGTCTAAAAGTTGGGTCAGTTTTATTTATTTATTTTTTTACATCTTCCCCCCAAAATAGTCTGCTGGATGGCTTTCTTATTTATTTAGTGTACGCAGTTTCGGCATATTGTTTCAGCCATCTTAAGGTGACGTCATCACCAGTTTGAAGAGCCTGAAGGCCATCAGGTACCATTGTAAAAAAGTCAACAATGTAGACATGGACTGAACTTGTCCATACAGGCATTGGTTGTCATTGTGAAGGCCCCATTGGTATAGGTTTCAGGCACAGTGACCATGCCCAGTTTGAAAATGGTTGAGAAGTGCCCAATAACCACATGGGCAGCTAAATCATGGTTGACTGACTGTAGGGTCAGAGGTGATGACTGATTGATGCTTGTGCTGACCATTCTTTATGCCATTAAGTAAGGAAAAAAGTTAAAGTGTTTTGAAGCTGTGGACCAGAATCAGAAGCTGGAATTATGCTGCAACCACATCAATTGCTCTTGATAAATAACTATCCCTTAGCCTAAATCCACGTTTAAGGATTAGTGAAGCTCTGTAGGTTCAGTGTTCAGAAGCGTTAGTAGTAGAGCACTTTCCCTCACAGGTAGTGTCTGCAACTGCTACTAAAGGCTATTATACCATTACACCCGTTAATTGGTTTTACTCAACTACTTTTAAAAAGCTGTCACCTAAATTTCTGCTCTTAACCACTTTAGTTGTCAAAAAAATCCTCCAAAATTTTAAAACTGATCTACAGAAAAAGATAAGGTTCTCTGTTTCATAGTTTCTAGGGTCAGAAGGGACCTGAGTAGTTCATCTAGTCCGACCCCCTGCCATGGCAGGAAAGAGTACTGGGGTCAAACGACCCCAGCAAGGTGTTCATCTAACCTCCTCTTAAAAACCCCCAGAGTAGGAGCATGCACCACTTCTCTTGGGAGTTGGTTCCAGACCCTAGCTGCCCTGACCATGAAGTAGCGCCTCTGTTATTAGACCTGCTTTTTCAGGTTGATTTCTTCTCATCACACATGGCTCAAGTTTTCTAACATGAAAAACAAGCTTCAGAACCTATTTTTTTCACAATCCTGTTTAACTTAGTATTATAAATTCACCCCAAAAGTAGGAGTGTTTTGGGGTGATTGAGTGTTACACAGAGATTTTTTTTTTTTAAATATGGAATGGGCTTCCAAAGGAGGTGGTGCTTTCCCCTATTTGACAAATACCTGGCTGGGGTTACTTGCCCCAGTGATCTTTCCTGCCCAGAGCAGGCGGTTGGACTCTATGATCTAATATGTCCCTCCTGACCCTAGAACTCTATGAAATCTATGAAATATAGCCTTCGATCTCCTTTGGTAGCTGAATATTATGCCATGTTTATCTTTAAATCATTTTTGTTTGTATGAACCATGATTTTGGGTAAACTTGTAATTTCATGTTTTATAAATTTTGACTTGAATCAGACAATAAGTTTTCACAAAAAGGAGCAATCACTAAAAATTCATGTTTGAGATGGCTACGTATATTGCCCTGCTTAAACAGGTGCATATGTGAACCCATCCCAAACAATAGTGATTTGAAATGGAAGAAGCATCACCAGGGAGGTAGTCTAATCTAAGGCTTTTTGGAGTAATAAGTAAAATATTTTCTCTGTGGGATAACTGATACTAAAGGGTACTGAATTTGTAATGTACAGGTCTAAAAGAAAGCAAATATCTACTAGATATAGTTGGATCAGGGTTGATACCCAGCTTATCAAATAGATGCACAACTAGGAGAGGAAGTGGCCGCCTTGGCTGGGCACTCCCGCCCTCACCGTGGGGGACTAAATCTGCACCCACCCCCCACGTACCTTCCCTCCCCCCAAGTCCCTTCCCCCACACAGACTTACCAGCCAGATGCTGCTCTCCAAGCTGCCAGGCTGCATATCAGCTATTAAGTTAGTATCGGCCTATATGGCTGGTTATTAAAATTGACCATCAGTATACCAAAAACATTTTTTTAAAAAAATAGGTGTACCCCTACTTTCTAGCTACATAGTTTCCCTCATTTATATTCATTAGATCAGTCCTCTTTTTTTTAAAAAGCTATGAACTTACCGAATACAGTTACAGTTGTTGATGACTGTGCATTTCCTAGTGGGAATGTAACTGCTTTGCATATATACTCTCCTGCATCAGAGAAGCTCACATTGTTTAGGCTGATTGTTGCATCAATAAGTGAAGAGTTTTTAAATGACACTCTTCCATGGTATTCTCTTTGAACAGAAAACCCATATTCAGGATGATGAACAACAACAGTTTGTGCACTTTTACCATGCATCTTCTCCCATGAGATTTGTGTTATTGTTTCATTTATATCAACTATGCATTTTAACGTGACATTCTTCCCCCAGACTGCTGTTACATGTGGATCAACAATCGGTCCAGCTAAGGCACCTAAAGAAAGACATACAAATAAAATGATAGTTGAATTACACAATGCAAGCAAATAGGATAATAAAAAGTTTCACTCATTTTTCTCTCTCATTATTTCAGTCAGTATACTTCTGATTATTTTGTTTGCTATTTTAATAAATTGGGTATAAAGATTAAAGCAGACTTCTAGTTTTGCTTGGTAGACAATTTACTATCATACTTATGATTTACATCTACAGCTTCAAACCTTTTGCTTGGAATTTTACATTTACCTTATCCGAGTTACAAACCATCTTACTATTCCAAAGCTAGTTAGATAAACTATCTGCAACTACACAACTCCTGCGGGCTTTTCTCCTATTTATTCAAGTAGTTGCAGCACACAGCTCAAGTCAAATTTACAAAGAAGTCACAAAGGATGGGATAGTCAAAATGAAGACAATGTTTCCTTGGTTTCCAGCCTTCAAATTATTTGACCTTTATATACATATATATATATACATATACATATACACATACACATACACACTATTAACCCTCACATAATTATAGTTAACTGCACTTACCCCCCAAAAAGCTCTTTCAATTGTTTTTATTAATTTCTTTAGACATACTAGAACAGCTTAGTATCTGTATTAAACATTGTTTAGAACAGGTTTGCCTATCATTTTTCTCCGACAGCAAAGGCAAGCACAACTGGCTTAATATGCTTATATACAGATCAGTCTGAAAAACAGTAAAAACTCTTACACAAACCACACACTTTACATTTAAAAATTCCGAGATTCATTCCAACTGGTATTTATCACATACAACATGCCTTCAAATAAGTTATACATTGTTCTGGAGAGGTAGAATGAAGAAAAATGTAGACTGAAGGTAGAATGAAGAAAAAATAGTATTTTCAAGAAAAGGTTTAAGTACAGTATTTTCCTGGGGGCGGGAAATCAGACAGCTGCAGTAGCAAGGACAGCAAAATAATGTGGCTGCTTTATTAAACCCTAGCTGCAAGAAGTTGCAGGTGCTGCTGGCTGAGCCAGGATGCCCAACCCCTCTTTGCCCCTTGAGCTGAGCTGGATGGGCAGCTGGCAGTACCTGCCAGGTCAACTGAGGGCCTGATCCTAGCCAGCAGCCCTTACAGAATTAACTAACTGAGAGCCCACCTGTGATTTAGTCTGCAGCCTGGTACCCAAGACTCAACTCTGCTTTAGAAAAAACAGATTTTGCAGTATGAGCCTCTGCTAGGAAAAAGAAAAAGTGTGTATAGTCAGCAGCTAGGGAGCCCTGAGGGCTTAGTATGTGGCCTCTTATGCAGCATTTGTGTTATTTTCTCTTTTCTCTCCAGCAGAGGGCCGAGCTTCAGGGGGTAGGGACAGAAAATACACAAAAACCAGCCTAAGGGATTAGAAACTGGTTCAAATTGGTAACACAACAGAAGTTCAGCGCACAAACGATTTCCAAAATAGCTGAAATTGGTTTAAGGTAAACCTAGATGGATGCAATATCAGACTTCACTGATTCACGTTAAGTTGATTTATTGAACTTGTCCCAGATCCCCTCCAGATTCAAGTCAACTTACAGTCCCTCAGCATCCCACGATGCTTTACAGCTTCTCCCCTGCAAGCCCCACATTGCAGGGTGGGTGAGCTAGCCTTAGCCCAAGCTATCTGCTCCAACCAAGCGGGTAGGCATGTCCTAGTGCCCCCCCCACCCGCTTCTGGCCTGTCTGCACTTCTGGAATCAAAAGTGAATGTCTGTTCCCTTGCTTATCAGTTCAATTTGCACAGTTTAGACTAACCCGTGAAGAATGAATTGATTCAGCCTCAGGATTTTTGACCGTCTGTACTTAGCCCACAAGTTGCCATAACCATACTTCCTTACTTAAAATGTACATGCCAATTTTTAACAGCTGATTTGGGGGCAGAGGGAGGGGGAGGAACTGCATGTGTGGTATGAACAAATAACCAGTACCAACTAACTGGATATTAAGTGGAGTTCAAATTCTTCCCTTGAGCAGTTTGCAACAGCTTCCCCTACACAGAAGCAGATTCAGTCACAAGTAATCAAGTACCCCACATGATAGTGGCTAAGTCCTGTATATCCCAGTGAAATCATAGGCAATAACTGCAGTCAGGCTACAATTTCTGATTGTGAAGTAACACAAACATGAATTGTTGCATTTCTTCATCTCTGAAGAATTATGCAACATGGAAAATAATTCTGATCATATATGCTCTTTAAAAGCTAGCCATCAAAATACTAAAGAAGTCTACGAAAGATTAAGTAGCATGTTACTCCAGCCATTAGCAGTAAATTGAGACAATAAAAAAAATACCATATTTAACTATTTCTCAAAAAAACTAGCTTTCCTGTAAATTCCCATTCTTAGATCCTGTTGCCAAAGTCAGTTTTTAGTTATAGATCTAGTCTTTGAAACTAAACTACTGCAAAAATGTTTTGTCTTATTTTTCTATTCCAAGAATTTCTACATACTAATTATATGAATAATTTCATATTGAATTAAGTATTAAGAAAAAAAACAGTGCCTATTGGGGAACAGGAGCTGAGGGAGCAGGGCACACGTGTGCCACACACACACGTACCCTCTTACCTTGGCAGCGGAGGCAGCAGCTGCAGAGGAGATAGCAGTGGGGGCAGCAACACCTGATTCCCCCTAAGGTAAGTAGGGCAGAGGGTACAGCACAGCTGAGGAGGATCTGGAGGGAAGCCCTTCAGAGCCCTCTTAGCTTGCCTGACAGGGAGCTGCGCTCCCGAGCTTCGTGCGAACAGTGCGTGCAAACAGGCACGCTCTGTAAGGGCACGCCGGCGTTTGCGTAAGGTAGGCACAAGGTAGCTGCCCAGAGCGGCACCTCCAGCGAGCAAAAGCAGTAGGCGCAGCTCTGCACACATGATGCAGACGTGGAGCACAGCTGCCAGGGGCCCTCCCCTGGTGCTGCCGCCTGACATGGGCTCTTCTGAGGCCTCCACCCAGACGGAGCTCATGGCAGGGTCAGCAGCCCCTTGCCCCC